GAATTACCTCCTCTCCTAGGTTCACGAAACGGTCATCCATAAAATGCATTGCTGTTCTGTTGTAAGTAATCTTAAAGATTCCTAAATGCATCTACTTTCGGAAGGCCAAATAAAGTGCTTTTGCTTTCGCCTAGAAACACACAGCGTCTCCCTGACATGCTGCTTCAACACTAACCGCGGTTACTGAAACCACGCCTTCTTTCTTTGCGTGAACATTTGGGCCGCATTATGCTAATATTTCCACATAGTGAGGTAGATATGCGGGGGTGTTTTAGAACGAGCCGTTTTAGGGGGGCGTGGCAGAGTCTTAACTTTGATAAAGAATATCTCTTTGATTTTGAGACTTTAGTCTTTGCAGCTTTAGGGGTCTTATCTATGCACAATCAGCTTGTAACACTCCAAAGAGAAAGGAAAACTTGAAATCGCATCATATGACCCCTTTAATCGACCATGATAGCTTTAATCGATTGCATCTCTTATCGACAATTAATCGATCATCAATTAATCGTTGACATCCCTAGTTTAAGCCCAAGTCTGGCTGGGCCACTCAAGGAAATTCACAGAGTTGTCCCTAAGCCACACTTGCATTGTCTTAGTGTGTGCTTGGAGTCATTGTCCTGTTGGAAGGAGAACTTTCTGCCCAGTCTGAGGTTCTAAATGTTTGGGACTAGGTTTACATTAAGGCTATCTCTATATTTTGCTGTGTTGAGGTTTCCTTCTTCTCTCACGAGTCCCCCAGTCTCTGCCGCTGAAAAATACCCCCACAGCATGAGACTGCTACCACCTCACTTTACTGATGGGATGGTACTGTACAAGTGATGAGCAGTGCCTAGTTTTCTCCATCAGTGTTGGGCAGTAACACATTACTTAGTAACGCGTTACTGTAATTTGATTACTTTTTTAGTAATGGAGTAATTTAATGCATTATAATTTTCAAAATAGTAATTAGAGTATAGTTACAAGTAGGGCTGTGCGATTAATCGAAATCGAATCGAAATCACGATTTGAGACGTTGCGATTTCCGCGGGACGGGAGAGAGACATAGTGGGATTATGGCGTCTACTGGGTCAGATCGATAGTTGGGCAAATTAAAACTAAAGAAAACTGTATGCAACTTAAGCTTCGAAATGACAGACAACGAACAAAAAAATTTATTTGCAAGAGCTGCGTCACAGCACATATCAAAAGCTTTCTTATCGGTTCTGTTTTCAGTACTGGAGAATAAAAGATAAATTCTTAGATGTTTTTGTTAGTACATGAACGTTATCTTACACATTTTATCTCCCCAACAGATTAATTTGAAATAAGTTTATAATGCGTGTTGGCTATTCCCAATTCAGAAGAGCGCACACACAGCCTGTGTCTGTGAATGCTTCTCATACTCGCTCCTCTCTGACGAGCCATTCATGCTTGCCGCACTCACGCAGCCTGTCTCGTAATGCTCGTTTATACTCGCACCCAGCTCCGCACTGCAAGTCTCCACGAGCGCATCTGGCAGTATGGACGAGACTTGACGCACGCCTGTGCCGACTCGCGCCTGGCTCCGCATTTGAAACGAATGTAAATTCAGTCTAACTGCTTGCTAATTTCACTGGGATGAAATGAAACATTCAGTTTGCCAGCTGAAAAAACAAACAATAGAACCCCTCCCAGAACACAATAACAAATTTAATGGATTTCAGGGTTTTAATGGTTTTAATGTAAACTATAATGGTGTCTATTTGATGGATTCTATTGGTGGGATGTAATCTGGCAGATGGCAACCAATAGAACAACAGTAATTCCTATTGGAATAATGCCCAAAACAAAAATGAATTTTGTAATGGTTTAATGGAAACTATAAGAATTTCTGTGATGGTTTCTATTGTTTTTTTCAGCAGGGTAATGATACCCATACTGTGCTGCACATTATTGACAATATTGAGCTGAAGCTTGACTTTGCAAATTTAAAATCGCAAATCAAATCGCAATCGCAAAATCAATAAAAAAAAATCGCAATTTGATATTTTCCACCAAATCGCACAGCCCTAGTTACAAGCCGAAGTCTCTATACGTTACTGCCACGTTACATTGCTGACAGGATGCAGTGATTTATAATCTAGAGATTGTAAAAAGGATGTAGCACACACACTGTCGAGTCAAGTGCCAGTGGATTAGAGACCTGCGCCCGCGAGACCCGACGCAACAGAGTGCGGCACGGGACAAGATGGGCGAGTAGACACTCGTGTGTGTGTGCGGGATGTGGGAGAATAAAATTATTCACGGGACTCCCGCAAAATAGAAATATCTAAGCATAAAATATCTAAAACAAATAAATTTTTATTCATCTATTGCACAAAATTAACATAATTAATATAAATATAAACGATTAACAGGTGCAAGCGTATGCAGAGTTTCTATTTAGGCTATAACACGTGTTTGCAGCGTTGAGCAATGCAGTGCTGAAATTTGCATGCTCACGAATCCTCTCATTATAACACACGAATTGTAGACATTATGAAAGATTCATAATGCATATATTTATTGTGTTATAACAGAGATTTGTGAGATTGCGATGAACTGAGATGTCTTTTAGAGATTATAAATGCAGCACTCTTTGCTGGCATTCTGCCAAACCATGCACGCAGCAGCCGCTTGCTTTAGTTAAAAATAACAGTGTTCTGTGAATGTTGATGCTTGAATAACAAATATTTATCGGGAGCATGTATGCTGGGATCTCATAAATTTCATGGAGAAAAAAGTAACGTAACTAGTAATGTAACTAATTACTAATTACTTTTGAAATAAAGTAATCAGAACAGTAACGTGATTACTTTTAAAAGGAGTAATCAGTAATCAGTAATTTGATTAAATTTTCAGAGAAACTTGCCCAACACTGTTCTCCATACATGCCAATATATGATGCTTAGAATTGAAGGTTCACCAGACTAGAGAATCTTGTTTCTCGCTGTCTGGGACTCCTTTAGTTGTTGTTTTTTTTCTTTTCTTTTGCAAATTCCAAGTGGGTTTTCATGTTTTCACTGAGGAGAGGATTGCGTTTGGCTGCAATGCTTTTAAGCCATGATCGGTGGAGTGCTGCAGTGATGTTTCTCCTTCTGTAAGTTTCTCCAATCTCCATATTGGTCATGGAGCTCAACTAGTGTGAGCATCAGGTGCTTTGTCACCACGCAAACCTTATCTTATTGATAGATATTTGCCTTTCCAAATCATACTCATTCAGTTGAATTTGCTGCAGGTTAACTCCACTCAGAGTGTAGAAACGTCTATAAGTAATATTGGAATTGTCTTGTTAAATTTCTTATGCAATGTAATTATTTCAGTGAACTAAAATCTGTTTTTTTCTTTGTCAATATGGTGTGTGGACTGTGGACTGATGATATATATCAGGGCTCGCAAAATCGCTAGCCCGACGTCCCGGGGCTATTGTGTTTTCCAGTCGGGCTACCAAAATGTATCACTGCCCTGCCCGATGGGCTATCTTGAATAGTTATATAAAAATCCATTCCTTGATTCGTGTTGTTCACTCGCTTGTGGGTCAAACGGATCATAGTTGATCATTTACACGTGTTTCTAAGTCTTACCAATTTAAACATTCAAGCATTTTAAACCAATTCATGCGCATGAAGAATTCAGTTCGGTGCTCGCGCACACATACAGAGCGGCGTTTCAGGCAGAGCACGAACACAGAATTGATTCCTCTTTCGCTTGAACGGACACATACACGCAAAATCATCTCAAAATAACTATCTCGGCAAGTATTTTCATGTCTTAAATGAATGTAAACAGTGGAGAAAGAAATCGCATGTGCATCATTATATTGGATCCATGCATTCGGTCTTAAAGGGGCAGCAGCAGATAAATACCTGCTGTTTAAGCGCCACCTGCGGTCAGAGAGTGACATTTGCGTCTCATTCAGCCCGTCTGCTGTTTTTGTTTCGTTCAGGTTTTTTATGTAGTATCACATAGCTAAAGTCAGACAATTTGGTTTTTGTTTCAAATTTAAAAATTTTACAATCTAAATAACGTGTATGCAGCGTCTTTGTTTGGATCGTGTTTAAAATACACAGGCAAAACCTTAGTTTACTTTCATGGAGAAATTATATTTTATTTGTATTTATTTATTTATTTCATTTGGGAATTTCAAGTTAGTATATTATTTGACATTTTCAATTTCACAAAGTAATGTGCAGCCTTTTGGTCTGAGAAATAACAAAAGGACACCTTTTTAAATTCGGTCTTAAATCTAATTTTGTTAAAGAAATTGTGAGAAATTTGTATTGTGAAATCAGTATCGTGAATTATATCACATCGTGAGTTAAGTGAATCGTTACATCCCTATATGCTACTGGTTTTTGCTGTGGTATCGTAGTAAATTGTTATTTAAATAATAAAGAACCATATTTTTTTTGCTCATCTGAAAAATGATCCGATCTGTGACTCAAAATGTGATATGATAATGTAATATAATCCGAACCGTGAGATTTGTGATCCGTTGAACCCCTACTCTCTTGACTTGTTATTTGAAGAAAAAATACAATATCTTTTATTCGGGCTAGTTAAATTCATTAGAAGAATGCCTGCCCGATCTTCCCTCTGCCCTGTATCTTAGTCTCTCATTGGCTGTAGGTCATCGGCGATGTAGTTTTCAGTCAGAAATCATTGCACACAGCGTGATTGTGAATCGCCGACAGCTCCAGATATTTAGCATGCCAAATATTTTGCGGGCGTCGGCGACACGTCGGCGATTCCCTCATCGCATCTTTGATAATTCACACTGCGTGATTGTCACTCACGTGAACGAGCACCGATATGCCTCCGATTTCGGGCATTTGTTGGTGATTTCGCAAAACCTGTCGGCGAGTGAAAAATCGGGCTGAAATCGTGCAGTGTGAATTCGGCATTAGGTGCCACTGAGACGTTTTTGGAAGACTGTACATTTTAGGAATTTATATGATTTATATGAAACATTGAAGACTAATGCTTTTTTGTCTTGTTTGCAGGTGATTCCTTGTGCCCAGAGAGATGCTCTTTACTGCCTCCACGAGAACGGTTGCATCACACTGCGTGTGTGCCGTTCCACAACACCTTCTCCTAATGAAACAGGCAAGACAGGTTTTGTTCCTTTACATCTATCCTTCCATCTGGGGGTAGGGCATGTAAGTAATTTTTTTCACCACAATAAAGTGTACATTGTAGCGTCTGGACCAATCAGACACACCATTTTTCATTTGATTTAACAAATCAATTATTCATTAGATTAGCAAACGTTCACAGACCCTTCACCCAATAAACATACTGGGTGCCAAGTTGTCTGTGAACAGGGCCCAAGACCCTGGTTACCATGGCAACCCTGACACCAGATACATTTACGACCTAATGGAATGCGAAGCAGGGAAAATCACTGCATGTTCCATCGCAAGAGGCACAAGGCACAGTAGAAATGGACTTTTCTACTAATTAATTCATAGGAAAACCTTTCTTTGAATGAACAGTGTATCCTTCAGGTCATGGTGTATGTTGTCTTTGATATTTTTAGACTATTTTATGCATGCTTATGATGGAACTCATTCCTGTCATCCTACCTATATGTAATTCTACCATGTTTAGTATCTATGAATTCACCTTCTGATGATCGAAACAAATGTGTATATTATAT